CTACTACTTCCACCTTAACGCTGCTGAGGCAACTATGATTTGGGATATTGTCCTTACAACTCACAAGTACAGCTGCTTGAAAGATGCTTTGGGTAGCAATAGTAGCTGTAAGCATGCTGTCCTTGTGATCTTTCTGATTTGCTTTCATGTTCACAGTAACAAGTTTGTTTTAGCTTATCAATCCCTCCTTTGTTACAAAAAAGACACAATCAGTTGAAAGACCTGCTGTCGTGGTTTAACCCCAACCAAGACAGCTTGTGCACTTACTCCCAGTGAGTGGTGCCAGGCTGGAAGCAATCGAGGTCCACGTTAGTCCGTCCCCTCCCCTTTCCCAGGGGCTGCCCCCCCCTTTCCCCACTCCCAGAGGGATGGGGAGGAGAATCGAAGGAATGCTGAGATAAGAACAGTCTAGCAACTAATGTACAATACGAATCACCACCGCTACCACCAACGACAACAATGATAAGAGAAAATAGCAAAGGAAAGGAGTACAATACCACGCGCCGAACCACCAGTCCGACCCGGCCGACCCCCTGTCCTTCCGGGTACCTCCCAGTTCCCCCCTGGGCATGACGTGCTGTGGTATGGAATACCTCTTTGGTCAGTTTGGGTCAGGTGTCCTGTCTCTGCTTCCTCCCGGCTTCCCCTCCTCCCTGGCAGAGCATGAGGCCCACAAAGTCCTTGGCCAAACCAAAACATCATTGTTTTTCAGCTCTGTTCTCAGCTGAAAGTCAAAACACAGCACTGCACCAGCTACCAAGAAGGAAAAAAAATGACTGCTGCTGCTAAACCCAGGACACCTGCCTTGTCCCCCACAACACTATCACTGTCTTGTCCTGTAAACATCCTCAACCCAAAAGCAAGTCTTCTGTCTTCTGCAACAATACTGACTGTCCACATATGTTCAGCTCTCAGTTTAAATGTGTATCATCTCTTTTTCCCCAGTGTTTTACTAGAGGAAAAGCAGTAATATTTAGCCACAAATAGCTATGCAGTTTTGCAAAGCATTTAGATGTACAGCCTGCCTGAGTGACAACATACAAAGCAAATCTGTCATGTATGCAACTACTATTACGAGCTGAATAGAATTCATGTCTCATAACCTCTTGCTGGTGAAAGAGGCAAAATTTTGTCAAGTTTTTCAAAGTTTTTGAAAGGGATTTATTCAAAGCACTCAGCTGGTGAGCACACAATGCTATAACACCACCCTGCTTTCGGGAGCACAACTGTTGAATAACATGAGCTCCTTCACAAGCCTAAACTTAGTGTTCTGCTACAGAAATCAAAGAATGGGGAGAACTGCACACCTAAACATGGATTCACAAACACCTGTACATTGAATATGCTCAGGAGAGCCAACTCAAGGTGCTAAAGTCAGGGCATGGGTTTTGGTCTCACCCCTCCAGGAACATTTTCCTTCTGCTCAGGTTTCACACCTCTGAGTCCTTCGACAGTTCTTTGCACTCAGGCACCAGACTTACCCTTGTCAGAAAACAAAGGGTATTATGTGTTGCATTAGCTTATGTTTTGATTCTTTACTATGGAAGGTGCAGGGGCTCTAAGTTCAAATCCTCCTTCTCACTGATGAGGAGCAACAAAAATACTGTAGCCACCAGCATCTTCAAGGAAAAGTATCTCTCCGTTTTTCCAAAAGGACAAAGCCAGTGTATGAGCTAGGGCTGGAGCATCAAGAGTCTGAGCCAAGTGCCCCAGTCTCCACAGGAGTTTTTTGTCTCTTGGCTAGTAAAACCATTTGATCTAAAAATCAGCACTGACCTACACTGCACCAGTTGGTTGGTACAGAACTGCTGGGATGGATACGCTGCAAATTCACACTAGTTTACAGACAGTTACTGTGCTTTCACATTAAAAATTCCATGGTGAAAAGACTTTTTTCCTGAAAACATTGCCTAGGAGTGTTTTCTAATGTATACAAGACAGTTGTATGATTCTTTTCATACTCCCATTTAACATAGATATGCAGGCAAAGCACACAGCAGAACTTGTCTTCAGTGGAAAACTTTATGTATTTACTTATCTTACTTTCAAAAGCAATTTCCTAAAAAATAAGCACTTGTGAAGAGCCCAGAAATAACAGTTTGTAATCAACTCTCTTTGGTATGTATGATATTGAATATTCTGCTCACCATGGAAGCTAAGTAAATATAATGCAAATTAAGTAGATTTCATTCAGGAGGCAAAGGGATTTGCTTAACATCAAATTCAGTGGTCACTAATCCCACTTTTCCTGTCCCTTTCCACACAAGTAACACAAATATTTAAATTCTCCAAATTGTAAAGTTCAGAATCTTGAGCCCTGTTAAATCTTATAAGCCAAAGTAAATTCAGTTTCTCTGATTAAACAGAGAGTATTTACAAATATCATAAATAAACAGTGAGTTGTTCTTTTTCATGCCACCTGATTAAGAACTTTTTACTTTGACATCATTCAGAATGATGCGAAGGGTCTAGAGCACAAGTTTTACAAGGAGCAACTGAGGGAACTGGGGTTGTTTAGCCTGGAAAAAAGAAGACTGAGGGGAGACCCTGTTGCTGTCTATGACTACCCAAAAGGAGGTTGCAGTGAGGTAGATGTCAGTCTCTTTTCCCAACAAATTATAGGAAAGAGAGGAAACAGCCTCAGATTGTACCAGGGGATGCTTAGATTGGGTATTAGGAAAAAATTTCTCCACTGAAAAGGTTATCACACCCTGGAACAAGCTGCCCAGGGAAGTGGTTGAGATACCATCCCTGAAGGTAATTAAAAGATGTGCAGCGACACAGTTTAGTGTTGGACTTGTCAGTGCTAGGTTTACGGTTGGACTCAATGATCTTAAAGGTCTTTTCCAACCTAAATGATTCTATAATTCTGTTTCTGCTATGCATTTTTTGTCCCAAAATAAAAGGAATCCCGTTGACAGTAGGAAATGTAACATTTCAGTCATGAAATCTTGCAAGAAGGTGCAAATAAACCCATGCCTTGCCAAGGACCTCTCTGTACCACCTTTCCATCATGCTTTCCTCTTATTTGCTTCCTCATCACAATTGCTTTTGAAGTGAGTTTTTCCCTCTAAGATGCTCAGTACAGTTGTCTTTAGTCCTTTCCATGGATTCTAATATATCTTTATATAGAAAAATATCCAAAAAACCAAACTAAAATTAAATTAAATTAAATTAACAACACCCCAAGTAGTATAACTACTGGGGGAATATCACTAAAGTTAGTCAGTTTTGCTAGTATGTTAGCCCTCATTGCCTCAGTGGTTCTCCATAGAAAATTAAACACTATATTATGAGAGCCCAACTAATAAATTTCTTCAAAAGACTTGTAGTAAAAGGCCTTGTAAAAGTTGCTATTTACAAGTAGCAATACCTGTCACAGATTAGGACAGATTTCTCTAGTGTTGGGAGAGTCTTATCTTACACTATCATTTCCGTGCCTTCTCAATCCCTCCTCTAGAGCATTTCATGACCAGTTTTACATCTCTGGAGTCAACGGGACTGAAGACAGAGGCCACAAAATGATGCCCTGGGTGCTGGCCACCATTAGACTTCGAATATTTGAACAAACAAAGCTGGGAACCTAGGCAAATTAAGCCAAAGGACTTCACCTTAACTCAGTAATGAACCAGTCAATGGCAGGAGAACACAGAATCTCAGAGCTCACCTGCAGATTGGCAGGACAATGCATATTTTCGGATGCAATTACCCACTGCATCTTTCCTCAAAATAAGCATCTCTGATTAATGCTCAAGAAGAAACACCTCCATTTAAAAACAAAGACTACTAAAGTATTTATTCATGTTCTAAACAAAAAAGCAATAGCTAACTTTGAAAAACAGCACAAAAAGAAAAAATAACTTTGAAAGCAATAAAAGGAAATGCAGCACTGTTCAGCACATATCTCACTGCTACCTTCTAATGTAATTCTCAAGACCATGGAATCACACCACTGCATAAGGAAACAGCACAAAATCAAAATGAAAATCAAGATCTTTGTCTCATAACTGTCACTACCCTTCTGTCTGCGACAGCAGGCTGAATACTGGTTAAGCAATTTCAAGATTTAGATCAAAACTCCATAGTACTGCTATACAAGTTTCCTCAAAAATAGCAATATCAAAGTGAAGAAAGTTCAAAGATAAGGCTGTTATTTTGTTTTATGAGTAATAAAAATATAAAAATGATAAAAACATCACAGAGAAGAAAAGTATGTCCTTGTAAAACCAAGGCACGCTGCCACAGGAGTGAATTAACCGTATTTTAACTCAGTGACTCAAGCTTGCACAGGAAACAACTATTTTACAGATTCTAGTTTTTCATTTTAATAAGCATTAGAGATCACAGGAGAAAGCCAAGAGTTATGTAGCATCCTTCCCACCAATGTGCCTGTGCCATGTAAAGTGCCTTTACAACGAGCAGAAAGAAATTTAAATCACTGTATACTCAGTCCCAGAAGCTGCTGCTCAAATTAATCCTGACTTAGCAAAAGAGCCAAGCACAGGCTGAACTTTGAATAAGTAAACAGTCCCAGCTAACTGTCTAATCACAGTGCCCCACATTTTTCAGGATAAATGATGTAGAGCAGGTCTCCGATGGCATCAATGAAAAAAAACAACCTGGTGTGGCAGCAGCAACCCATATTTCATCAGGCCAGTGCAAAATTACAAGATCAAATGATTGCTTCTAACTTGCTGTTGCAGAAATTAGAGTCTAAATTTACAGGAAGCCAGCCACTTGGCTTTAAAGACAGAAAAGTTACCTCTTATTTATGGCAAAGAAGTAGCCTACACACCAGAAGTTACTACAGTTAGAGCTGACTGAGCTCACACATCAGCTTATGCCACTGTAGCTTGGATATTCACCCATACCTTTAGGTGTTAATAGCATTGCTATTCAGAAATTCTTAAATTTTTGCTTTGTTTAGGGTGGTTTTTTAGCCTCTTAGATTTGTAATGAACTACAAAACAAAGGAGAATGAGAAAAAGAAAGAATATTACCTGAAGGCCCTCTATGGCTAATCTAAGCATGCTTGGTGTGAGCTTGGAGGCCTGCTTGAAGGTGAAGTTGCTCCAGTCTATAATCAAAACAAATCCATTCACTTGAAGCTCAGGGTCTTCTATCATGGCTTCTAAAGAAAGAAGTATGGCGCGCAAAATATCCACCAGCGTGTACCTGTGAATGTTAAGGGGAGATGTGGTTAGGACAGGACATGGGCATGGACAAATTCTGAGCGCTTCTCCTTTGTACTGTGTGTCAAAAGTTTGAATCAAAGAGTGCAAACATGTCCTCAGAAGTCATGGATATGTAAAGCTGGGAAACTCTCAAGAGCTCAATTAGTTGAACTCGCCCTCTGGAGCAGGATTATGTCTGTGTAGACCACCAGCCAGACAGAACAATTTACAGGAACAGAACACACCAGAAACAGATTTGAAGTCTTCTACAGTCTCCTATGCTGCTTTAATATCTATGCTTTTTATTAAATGTCTATACAAACATATCTGTGCAAATTGCATTTTTCTAATATCATGATACCAAAACCTGAACCTAACACTAGAAGCCTAGACCCAAAGTTTCCTCTTATATTTTTTCCCAGGGACTGAAGTAACAGCTTCCACAAAATGATCAGCTAAAATAAGGATTCCTACATGCTCTTCTTGTCCCTCTCTCTGGGTAATGTTTTAAATCTACAAACCGTATTACAGAAGCCTGGTTACTCAAGGATCTTTAAAGCAGAAAGTAACACACACTAGGACTTTGAGGTGTTCGTGGTTAAGGGCAAGAGCAACATTATAAGAATTACTTAGCTACCTTCTGAGTACTGAGTACTTTGCATGCCCAAATTATGTGGTTTCAGGGGTAAATCCGGAATGTGTTATTCATTGGTCCTAGGATTTTCTATGTTAAATTTGGGTTTACAAAGATGTACAACATGTAATTACGTGTCTTAGATCTATGCACATAATTTTGTCTTAAGATTGATGATCTTATGAAAGAAGACATAATTCCAGATTGCCAAGGCTCTCTCGAGTATAATCTTTCTTTTCTGAAGCTAAAGCACCTACTACAGCAGCTAAATAGCTGAAATATATACAGGAATGTCATCTTTAGACTGACATTCAATAGTTATTAATGAACTTGCACTTTAGCTTATTTGCTTCTTTAAAACATTATCTGGGCTTTTTTAAGAGCTATCAAAATAGTTGTTTTGATTTTTTTCCAGGCTAACTATATTTTAGGCCTAAAAAACATTTTTAAAAGTAAGATTAGTTACTGAAACAGATGTACGTTGTCAGTCTACACCACAGTAACGGATGTGGCATTAGAAAGCTAAACCAGAAAAATATCAGGTAGGTATACCAGGAACAAAATAAAGAGTTAATTCTTCAGTGTTTATGCAGATATTTTAAATAAGGTCCTTTAAAAGTCTTCTATGATGGCACCAAACATAGAAGTTCTCAAAATTATGAGTCCTCAAGGAAATCTGCACCATACTATATATGTAGCAAACAGCATGTTTGCCTGTTTAGAAGTTCTATTAAATTATACTAAATTCTGATTGCTTTAACACAATAAGTACACTGTTTCTTTGTGTACATAGCTATTTTTAAAAATATTGGGAAAAGGAAATAACACAAATTAAATTAATCACCTCTGGCTGACTCCTCACATCTTTCCATCTTGTTTTATTTTAGCGAACTAAAACTCAGCAGACTTCCCAACTACGCATTCCTAGCAAAGGGACTACAAAATTACTCTCTTAACATCAGCCTAACACAAGTGCAGAAGAGAAAGTATGTCTTCCCCAGAAAACATTGTAATTCGTTTACATGATTCTTCTCATCATTTCGGAGAACCTTATTTTGTTTTTAATTTGGTTTGTTCCACTGGGATAAAAGTTTTTGGAATCACTCCTCTCCTTTTCACTTTTCTGAGAGATATCTTGTTTCTGAGTCTTTACTTTTCTGAGATCTAAGGTTTACAAGAAGTTTGGTATGCTCCCTCTTTTTTATTCAGTTTTTTTTTCAGCTGTGAGGAAACAGCACAAGAAATTATTTTGTCTGTCATTATATGCCAAAAAAAAAAAAAAAAAACCAAAAACCAACCAAAGAAAAAAAACCAACTCTTTTGTAAATGGAATTTTGTCAATGGGGAAAAAAGGACATGCCTTGAGACCTATTTTGAAAGACAATGTTCAAAACCTGAATCCTTAAAATTGTTAGCGCAATTTTATAATCAAAGATATGTTAGGCCAGGACCCTATTTTTGCAGTAGGCACACAGGAGCACCCTGCCTGCCCTAAGCAAACCCAGTTGGGGGCACAGGATCTGCATGGCAAAGCCAACACCCTGGACATGGTGGTGTGGCTGATGCTCCCCCTCTTCCCAGGCAGAGCAGATCCCCCAAGCCCAACTGATGCATGAGGAAAATGCCATCATCATTGGTAAGGTCTCTGTATAACCAAACACCCCCAGCATTGCAGTGCAAAGAGCAACCTGAGGTAAGATAGAATAATTGTCTCTTTCCAAAATGAGTCTGCTCATGTAAAATGGGAGTGTTTGGCAACATGAAGGCTATAGATGGTTTGGCTGCTACTAAAAAGGTCTTAGTTTGCCTAGCATATCTCCAGACAAGTCTACCTATCCAATACAACACTGGTGCACAGACATGGGAGAGCACCAACTAAGAATTCCCTGTATGACACATGTTTTGTAAAACTGCCAGCATTGAGATGAAAACATGCACTTAGCCTCACGGAAGGAGTCTTACAGAGTTGTGTTCAGGATTGGAGCTGGGCTTAGAGCACGGCCAGCTGCCTTCAAACCTATGGTTACCACAACAAGGTGATGAATGTCTCAGAAATACTACTTTTTTTACCAGTTCATTAACTTAGATGGAGATATACCCTGTAAGAGGCCTTCCCAGGGAAAACGTTGCACTGGGAAGGAAATTGCATCAGGCGAGACACTGGGAGAGCTGCTAATCCCCAGTCTAAAGAAGATCATCTACCACAACTCATACAAAAAACAGACATTACAATACTCAAATTCTAAAATTAGCTTCAACCCCATTTGAGATTTATGCTGCCCCATTAAAGGGTCTCCCTCTGCAGAAGAGCTCCACAAACCAGAAGGCTGCTGCAAGCACCCTCCATCCATTCCAAGAATATGGGTCCCAAGTTCCTGAAGCAGATCTCTAATGCCTTTCCTGGGAAGCTCAAGACAACACTACATGCCTTGGATTAACAGCTCCCTAGTAGCACAAGGCTGCTAGAAATCCGGTGCATTAGACATAAAGATTCTTTGTGTACAAGGCCAATCAGGTCTCTGAGACTGGCCATGAAATACTTTTATATATACCTAAGTGATAAATATATAGATGTATACACGTAAACACAAACACACCTAATTATGTCCTGAATTCATTCAAGAAAACGGGAAAATTATCAGGCACCAAAGAGACCAGGAATACAACCACCACGGAGTAACCAACAGTTGCAGAGCTAGGCCTCCACAAATCTGTGGCACATTCACAAAACCTTATTTCCTGTTGCAGGATTTGGATAAGAAAGTCAGTTCACAACAACAATGATAATGTTGCCCTTCAGGGCAATTACCTGAAGATTGGAGCTATCCTTCATCCTTCATCTCTTCGTTTTGATACCTTACTTAAGTATATAGCACAGGAAACCAGACAAGAAAGACAAATCCATTAGTGGATATTTAAAGTAGTTGTTACTCTGGAAATGTGCTGAGAAGACCCAGAAATGTAAATCTGGTGTGATAGATGAAATCTGAGACAGTGCAAATGGCAGCTGAAAGCATCAGCTGAACAGCCCAAGCAAATGCAACAAGATTAAGGAAAGTAAACTAAAGCTTTCACACAGCACAGAGTTATTTGCATAAAGACTCATCTTTAATCCACTGCAGCCTCACATTGTCCAACATTTCACTTCATTGCTACTTCTGTTCATGTCAGCACCAGGATGCACAGACTCTGCCGTAAAATATACTCCATCCTTGGCTGGACTTTAGGGAAATTAAAATCCTATGTAAAAAGAAGGTGGGAAAATTACTCTGGATTGTGTTGTTGAAATTACTTTCTATATAGGTTCAGAAATACAACTAATGAAGAGTGAGAAAAATGGGATGTTAGTGAGTGTAAAATAAATTTGGTCCATTATGGCTTTGATTGCCATTCTACTTTAAAGAAAACAAAAAGTCAACATATTAGCCTTTAAGACAACACAGTGCTCAGTCTCAGGCCAAGATGGTATTCTTTTATTCTTATTAATCTATTTAAGTAATAGTGTGTACTTAGGAGACAGCTAGCCACTCATTTTACCCTGGCCCTAGTTTTACAATGACTCTTCCAGTGCTATCAGGTACACATGGTGCGCTGGGCCTGACTTGTTGCAGTGAGTATTCTGTAGTAGCGTGGAGATAGGCTGTGCAGAAATAAATCCTATTTATTTATAACTAAATTCACTTGTTTAAACAGACTCTTATGGGATGCACTGTAGCTAGCAAGGTATTACTAATTACTATGATAACCAAGAACTCGTGGTTAATTTTAATGTGTTTAGTGCCCCCTGTTTATGGAACCATGCTTAACCTGATGGAAAGCTTAGGCAACTTTTTAGGCCAGTTGTTAATGTGAATAACAAATGCTGGAAATATGTTATCACATATATAATGCACTCTTAATGTTCCTTTTCTATGTGAGTCCCAGCCTGAGTTCAAATAAGGTGGGGACTGGTATGCAGACACACTCCGCTACCTCTTGCTATTTTTCATTCGGGTTGACTTGATAGCCACACTGACAGCGATTCTTTCAAATGCTTTGGGATGGCTACCATTCCTACCACAACAGCAACAGAACCTTCAAGGGTAATGCCTCACTGAAGTCTTAATGTGCCAAGAACAGAACAGCTCAAACAATTAACTAATCATCCCACTTTCTTGCAATTTAACAGTGGCAGCAATTTCCCCTTTACAGAAAAGTTCTTTGAGAATTTTTTATATGACATGAACAGTATTTCCCAGGTTTTATGGGGAAAACAGTCCAGCAGACACTGCTATCAGCTCTTGGTAGTGTTTCATTACGATCTTTCACCTTTAGCTCTTGGTTATATGGTCTACGCATCCTCTTCACTCCCAGAGGCCACTGTGATCTCTATCAGGCCAACAGAAAAAGAGACAGGAAGAATGCAGGGTACAGATGTCTCATGTCAAATCGAGCTGTGTCAGCTGTTTTCAATATTTTATGTTCTTGATGATGAGTGGCATCCACTGTATCATCTGTTTAACTAGATTCTGGTTCCAGTCAATTCACTTTTCCTCTGAATAACAGATAATCTGATTTGGCAGGGTTGCCCTACTATCTCTATTGCTATTTGTCATCCCTCCCCCCAATATAAAGAAATTTCAAGTTATTCTGAGAATTAAAAGTGAGCGGCATGAGTCTGCCTCTCATTGAGTTAACTAGAACAGATAAATGGTAAGTCTTCGCCAGAATTCAAGGCGCATGTCTCCTGAAGGTCTCAAACATGTAAGGAACACACAGTCTGTATTTTAAGCTTATCGCCATTTGGAAAAGTAAAGATTTCTTTCAAATGAAGTCTTATGCCACTGTGGTTTAAAATGGAATGCTGGTCAAGTCTCTGAGCCATCATCCTATTTCTAACCTACTGCTCTTTGTATTTTTAGATTTTTGGTGAAATAAGAGTTCTCAGGATACACAAAGCAGTATGCAGAAATGATGCCTCATATCTCCTTGATTTGTCAGTCTGGGTGCAGATTTGTATGCTTAAAAGATCGGAGATTGAAACTTCCCTTACAACTATTCTGCTTAAATAGTGGTAGCATGCCCTGGGAGCCCTCACTCTAAAACCAAAAAGCATCACCAGTGTTACAAAAATGCATAGGAAAACAGAAACTGATCCAAATACTTTACCAGATTAGCTTTTAGATTCAGATTTAATACCATTCATTGCTCTTTACATTAGCCCAGTGTCTAAGTCACAGACACAGATGCAGAATAAGCTGATCTAAATTTTACATTATCATTGATCAAAAAGATCCCTAGCCAAAACACTCAGTCTAAATGCGAGTAATAGGCAGCTACAGATACCTGGGAGAAAGCTAGGAAACAGTGAGATAGCACCTGTCAGTAAGAGAAAGTGTAAAAAAATTACAGTGTTTGCACTAGTTTATTATTATTTGAAAGATATAACTTCCAAACAAAAACTGACTCTATTAACCAGGTACTTTGTTACTCTTAATATGTTATTACTGTTACCATTGCTATTTATTTTGCCATACTGGCTCAATCAGAGTTTGAAAAATACCCTGCCAACTCGCGTGTGGTTAACAGTGAGCCGAGGAACAAATGAGACTCCTAATAGCTACACTACTTAAATTTTTATTTAATGGGAGGAAAAGATAAGTTTCTAGCACTTCTGCACATGAAAGAATAGGTCTGAAAGCAAACCAGTGGAGTTGTCTTTGCCCTGCTATAAATCATCTGATGCAAGCGCAGAGCTAATGGTAATGAGTGCAGGGCATTTCCATACGTTTCACTGAGGATGGTGTGAGCTGACTAGGTCACTGTGACACAGAGAGGAGCTAGATATCACTGCATCACTCTTCCACTGCACTTTCCTATTGCACTTTCTAGGAAAAACTCTGAGATAATACCAAGAAGGATTTCAAATAAATAGCATCAAAATGGACTGGTTTTCCTGGGGAATTTGTGTACAGTGCCATAAAGCATGCAGAAAAAGATGCATGACAACAGGTCCTTTGTCACTGACAGTTGAAGTTAATTGTACCATTAACTGAAAAAAAGAACTCCACCAGCTAGACACATGAAGCATAAGGGAGTCTTCAAATGCACGTACACCCCTACAAGCCAAATGTAGCTATGAATCAACAATCTGCAAGCTAATAGGGAAGGCTGATTCCTCCCTGAGTGCTAGCCAGCCTCTTGGCAGGAGTGCCACCTGTCTTCACTTTCCCAGTAGCAAAGAAAGGGTGGGGAGTTAGGAAGCATCCCACTGAAACCTGCTGGGCTACTCCATGCATTATCCTTCACCATTCTTTTTTTTTTTTTTTGCTTGTTCTTTTCAAATACATGGCTGATCTAGTTGTTCAAATGGTAGGATATCTGGTACAGTTTTCAAGCCCTGCTTCAATTTAGTGATTTAATATCTAGTATACAGGCTTGTTTTACCATAGGAATGTTCTGCCTCCCACACTTTTCTTTCTAATTGGAACTATGTACACCATAGGCTGCTGGTGCTATATAAATCATCTGTAGTATGTCTGCTCTTCATTTAAATAACAAATTGGAACTTTTTATTTCTAATTGTTACATGCTGGCCATAATAAGTTGTACACACATGATAAATGCGGAGGCATGCTGTGCTCTATTAACTCAGTTTATGAGGCATACAAAGAGGTTCCTAACAAGACAGACTTCAAGGAGTAATACTCCCATTGTTACTGCAAAAGGAGCGGTGCTTTATGCACAACAAGCTCTCAGGTCAGTTGAGGAATACGCTTCAGACATATTGCACAGCAGCTCTAGTATAAGTTCCATACACAGTGCTCCCAAGATTCAGTTGCTGAACATCAGATAATGGAAGACACTAAATTAATTAGAAAAGAAAGTGACCTAGCTCCATTCCCAGATCTGTCACTGAGTTGTCATGTGCCTTGGAGCAAACCACTCCTTGCAGCTGGGCTTCAGCTCACTCCCCTTTGTCTGAGTGGTCTATCTGAAAATAAATCCCTTGCTCTGGAGGTGTACTGTGGGCACGCAGTGCTGAAAAGCAGTAAGCATACAATTGCAAGCATTAGGTACTCTGGTGAACTCCAGTCACTTTGCTACTATAAAATAGAGAATAATAATTGTACCAATAGGACTTCGTGAAAAAAGTACATTTTCTATTGTGCCAGCTGATCAATTCAAATATTAACAAATCCAAAATTAAGAAGAAAATACAACTATTCTTTTCACATTGCAATTATTTTTTTCAAATGCTACTTTATTTCTGAACTTGAATTCCTGGTGTTCTTTTGACTAGGAACTAATGACCTGAAAAACATCACATAAAGCTTTGGGTTTTTTTTCATTAGTGAGAAATGACAATACAATATAGAGTATCTATTTATTTGCTAATTCTTCCTTCAGGGGTTTCTAAGAGTTTGTGAAGTTGTTTTTAAAATAAAAAGTTGACCTGGTCCTCAAGGTTGAAATAAGGAAGGTCCTCATATGGAAAATGAAGCCCACTCAGAGAGTCCTTAGCCTCATCACCGCTGCTTCCTCACTCAGCTGCCTTTGCTCCATCTGCTAGAAAACCAAAGCAGGAAAAGGACGCTGGCACCAGCTCTGTGTATGTTCATCCACACTTTCTTTTTGTTTGTCTGGTCATGGGCAGTTTTGATTTGTGCCAGACAGCATTCTCCCAGTGCCTAGGAATGATTCATGGGTTAGCAAAGGCCAGGAAACTCTCCCCGTAGGCAGTGTGGATATGGCCACCATGTCTGGAAATTAGGAAATCCATGGTGGGCCAGCAGCCATCCCTAGCTGTAACACTGACTGGCACAGGGAGCCGTGGGATCACTCCCTGCAGTGGCTATCCACACAGCCTGCAAGAGAACAGCTACACAAACAATTAAAGGGCAAGCTTAAGCATGCCGATCCCTCAGACTCAGTCCTGTCTATCCATGCTGCTGGCTGTTTATGTCCCCCCAATGTTTTCAAATAGCTGAGCTTGGGATATCTACATGGAACACTCAGCACTGCCTATACCCAACTTGTATTCACTGCACAGAAGACGGTTTGGGTTCATGTCAGGCAACTAGCAAGATTTTAAGTTTTGTCATCAAGAACTGCTTCAGTTCTAAACGTGCTTGCAGGTTGGGAGCCTAGGGAAATTATGCAGTGCTTACAGCAGGTTTAAGAGAGTACACTCTTAATGGATTCCTTCATTTACATCTGAAAATCAAGCAAATTTTGCAGACAGAATTTTAGACTGGAAGAAACTGAGCATGACAATCAATTAGGTATTTAGGATAACCAAATAATGTTGCATAGTATCAAGCTGACTCTTAAAAGAAAGGGCCTTGGTCAGAGACAGCACTTGGGTCAACCTGCTAAGTCATCTTCAGACTAGAGTAGTCCCAAAAAGGATGTGAAATTGTTCTAGGGACTGCACTTGCCTCCTTCAACTCGCTACCAAAGCCTGGTGTGCTTGGATCTGGGAATTCCCACTTGGAGCAGCATGAGTAGGGAAAAGAAGTGGTTACTGCAACTTCCATCCTGGCACTTCCAGGTGGCTCAGGAAATGCTTTCTTTAGCTGAGGAAAAGGATCTGGGAGCCTCAGCTTCTTGCACAGATAAACTTTTCAGCTCAAAGGCCATCACAGATACTCCTGTTTTACACACAGCATCACCCACTTTCTCCTATGGCACCTAAGCTGCTCTGTGTGTGTCAATGCAGAAAGACCAGCATGGAGAGCGCAACCAGCCTTTGTCAGGGGCATACACTCATCATCTACCATGTCAGCTCACCTCAGCTAAGGGCGGGCAGAAGGATGTAAAGCTCCTATCAGCCAGCTGAGAAGAGCACTGGAGCAGTTCCCACTCCCCTCCCAAAATTCGGTCCCTGAAGGATGAGCAGGTTGAAAAGGCCCTAAGCCATAAAATTTAATTTCTTCATTCTCTTCCCCCCCTACCTTCCACGCTGCTGCTCAGCCAGTGTGTCCCCACTGCCTCTCTATGCTCTGGCACAGCTTTTCCTATGCGTTGCCCCGGGTGAAGAAGGGGTTAGGGTGTGTGGGTGGCTCTGCATTTACCTGCTCTGGTCCCAGTTGGCAGCAAAAAGGACAAGGATCTTCCTGCCGTAGTGGTCCAGGTTAGCCAGCCCACCGGGGAAACCATCCTTCAGTGCCTGCTTGATGCCCGGGTCTGTAGCCTTGAAGCTCTTGAACATATCCAGGTTCTGCTGGCGATATTCAAAGTACTGGGCCAGGAGGCGAAATGCCTCGAAGTGCTGAAACTTCCTGGCCCGCAGGAACCGCAGGATGAAGGCATCGTCGGTGCGGAGGAAGCCGATGTCCGGCCGGGTGATCACCATGTCCCGCACCTCCTGGATGTCCTGGTGCAAGGTGTCAGGGTTCTCATTCAGCTCCAGCCGGGCTTTCTCTAGAGTCTCCGGGGAGAGACCTGCCTGCAAATGAGTCATGGCGCTGCCCTCCTCCTCCCCGCCTCTGCTGCCGGCGCTCCTCAGCCTCCCGGCCGCTTGGCCCCCGCAGGCGGGGTGCCCCGGCTCGGCCGGCAGACGCTCCCCCGCCCCGCCGGGCCTCGCCCCGCGGCTCCCCGGCCTCGCCGCCACTGCCAGTCCGGCCGCCGAGAAGCGAGTGGCTCCCAGGCAGCCAGGTCCCGGGGGAGGGCTGGCACCGAGAGTGGCCCCGGGCTGCTGGCAGAACTGCGTTATCTCTCTGACATAGCGCCCTCCACGCCGCGAGATCCGACGCTCCGCAGCATCCCCGCAGCCGGTCCGCGGAGGAGCCGAAAGCCGCCGGGGATGGGTCTGCGGACTACCGGCTGTACTCGCCGCTTGTCACCGTCGGTGCCGGTGCAGCTGCCGGTGCTAGAGCGGATCTCAGGCCGGGCTGCAGCGGCAGCGAGGGACCCGGCCGCTAGGCAGGGCGAGCGGCACCGGCGGACGCTCCCCTGGCCCGGGGCTGGCAGGGGGGCTGCCCTCCTTGGCGCAGCACCATTTACGTAAGATCAGCGCTCGCCCCGCTTCGGAAGCGTCTCCCTGGATTTGAGAGCGGGATGGGGAAAAAAAAATAAAATAAAACAAACAAACAAACAAAAAAAAAAACCACAAAACAACCCAGCAGCACCAAACTAAAATAAATAAATAAAATAGCAGTGGGGAGGAGGAGGGAAGCCGATCCGCAGGTGCTTCGCCGGTACCGCTACCGGAGAAGCTCCCGCTCGCCGGCGCGGAGCCCGGAAAGGCACACGGAGCCTCGGCCTTGAGGATGCTCGTCCGCCTCCTGCGCTCTCCTCCGTTCCACGCCCCAGCTCCCAGATGATACCAGCCGGCGCGGGGCTGCCTGCTGCGCGGCCCCGCCTTGCACACACACACACACACACACACTCACACACAGGCGCGCAACGACACCTGCCCTCGGAGGCCGAAAACGCCCCGCTGGAGCCACGCGGAGGGGGGCGGAGAGAGGCGGGAGTGGGGGCAGCTCCACTCTCCCCCGCGCAACGCAGCGCCGAGCCGCCGTGCGGGGGGAGGGCGGGTGGGGGGACGGCTCCCGCAACGCGGATCCCCGCGGAGAATGGTGGGGAGCTTTGCGCAGAGACACGCCGCTGCTGCTTGCGCCGGGGGTGCGAGGAGCACGATGGTGGGTGCCTGGAGAGGGGGGTGGGTAGCGGAGGGGCCCCTCGATTTCTGGGGCAGAGCGTATGCGCCTGCGGAGCCTCCCGCGGGAGTCAGGCCGAGGGTGCGTGTAAATCTCGGGGTCCGTGGTGAGATGTTGTTCATGGAGTGATGGCTTTCCGTGCAATCCTCTCTTTTGGCTGAATTTATTAACAGGAAACATTGTGAGCTTAAAAACCTGGAAATAAAACAAAGCAACACTCTGTTTTGGTCTCCCATCAGAGGCAACATGTTTCCAAATGCATTGTATTGCAAAGAACAAAAATATCTTTCTTCTGCATATTGACTTTTCAGTGAGGAAAATACTTCTTTTGTGCAGAAAAGTTTGATGCTGCAGTCACCTTTCAGGAGAAATTCCCACTGAAGAACATTTGATCTTTATCTGAGGGACTGGACCTCACTTCTGCAAGACTGAAAATCAAGCTTACAGCAAAGATACAGTGAACACAGAGAAGCCTATAACATGTATGTCCTTCTCCTTCTTATGGAAAGTACAGTGCTCCGATACTGCGCTGGGCTCCTCTCCCAAGACAACATAGCCAGAGCACACAGCCTGAATTATTGAAAAGGCCCTCAGATCACTGAACCGTGTAGAGAGTATATATGGGGAATACACCAGCAGGAAGTATAGTATGTGTTCTAAGGCAAATAAAGATTCTCATAAAAGCACTTAAATGATAACCTGCATTTTCTGCAGGCCATCATCAGGTGAAACAGGTGACCTCAGCAGCAGGAGGGAGCCCTCAGCAATGAGCATGTTCTGAGAGTGAGTCTAGACAGTGAGCAGTAGTTAGGAGGCAAAATAGTCATTCTGGAGGCTAAAGCGAGGACTTGCTTTTTGAGGGGTTTTATAGGGGTTTTGAGTTCTTCACCAAATCCTTTCTTTGTGCCAAGGGTCAAGTTTTAACTGTTTCTTCACAGCTGCCTGACCTCAAAATATATACAGTGTGGATTGCTGGAAGGGCAGAGAGAAGCACCAGTCCCTTCTAAGCTGGGTACCAGTCTTCAGTGACCTAGCTGAAGGCAGAGACTGGTGGAAGGACCTATCTGATAGTGCCCAGTCTTTGCTGCCCAGCTTCATTTCATCTGAATATCACCACATGCTTTGAGATACCTCAGGAGAGAAGAAGATAAGCAGTCTACCTAAGGACTGAATCACTCACTAGAAAAGCTTATTTCTCTTTGTTTGATTAAATGCTTTTAAATTTTAGATTAGCCCCTGTACGTAGATGTGATTCATCTAGGTTGGTAACTTTTTCTTAGAGCAGTTATTGCTCCAGAAATAGTTTGTTCTTGTTTTAAAATATTCTCTATTATTCTTAAATCTTCATTTTCGTTTGCTCTTGATATTTTCATCTGTGTTACTTTTATATTCCTCAGCAAAGACCCTTTGGGAAGAGCTGTTTCCATAACCCCTATGGAACTAACAACCAGACTTTTCCTGCCATCATCTTCCATTTCTGTTGTCACTGCTCTGCCTTTTCCATTGCAATTAAGCTAATAGAAGAGCAGGTCATGTGACAAGTCAGTGCAAGGCAAGCTGCAGGCGTTCAGTGTCTTGCAAAATCAAGTCCATAATATATCCTGTCTATGACCTCCAGTAACACATTCCTTAATTTGTTTTATTTTTCTACTCAAGTGGAAGCATACACATATATTAGATTTTCTCATGTATTCCAGTGCATAAATGCACTGAACAGAGAAAAGAAGTGAACTGGCCAGAATTAAAATATTAACAATTTTGAAACTACAGAAAAAGTTAATTCTAAAGTTTCTTAATAAAAAAAGAAATACATAGAATTTCACTGAAAACTTCCAGTATTTTTTGTTTTCCCCATTTTTTACCATATTTAAGTCCTTCCTCTTCTTACCCTTTTTAAAATAAAAAAGGCACAGAAAAATACAGGGAAAAAATGCAGAGGAAGAGGATAAAAAGAAATATGGAAGCCAAATATATTAATTAATTTCATCAAAATCAATCCAATTTCTATATGCTTCCTTTTCAAACAAGGTTCAGTCTCCACAAAAATGTATCTAATAATTTAACAATTTCTAACCGATACCCACATTAAAATGAAATTCATCAAATCTGAACAGCATTTCAAGAAGATCATTTTGCAATGTCTTGTTGAAAATAGATCAAAATGCCCTCATCATGGAGGAGATTGTTTACACAGCTCTTTCCTGAACTGAGTAAATTTAGAAGGTGGGCACTATGAAAAGCACGTGCAGCAAGGCAGCCTGAAGATGGAGTAGGTCAAAGAACAAGATTTTGGTGCAAGCCATGATGGGTCTTACTATGACAGTAGAATTTTTTCAATACTTTGAGAACTTGAAGGGTTTATTTTAAATATAAATAATTTCATAGGAGCAATAAAAAGATGTTTCTGATGTCTATAAGCAGATTTATCAAACCATTTAAATACTATAATTAAGAAATATGTGTTTTCCAATATGTTATCCTACCTAAGTCATGAAGGGGAAAATAGAACCACTAATGCAGTTAGATGCAGCATATTGATGGCACAGTGTAATTTATTTATTGTGTATGTGCACTTTTCCTTCTATAAAACAGTAGGGGTGTCTGACTAAATCCATTATGTAAATCTCAGCTTCTCTTCACTTGCACTTACGAACTATTATTTTTCTTTGATGCTTTTATAGTCACTTTTGCCTGAACTTCATACAATTAAAATACAAGCGCCCTGCGGTCCCATAAGCTACAATTAGGCACCTGATCTGAAATAAAAATAAAACACAAATAAGACAAAAAGGTGTGTGCGTAGGTGTGTGATATCAGAGATGCTAATTCACATTCAGAATTAAATTGTTTAAAATTGGGACATCCAGGAACAAAAATGGAATACTGGAATTAAACCAAACAAAATAATTATAAGATGGTGGATAAGGAAATAACTGTATTAAGACTAGTATTGGTACTGCACTTTCTCTGGAGTAGTTTAAGACTCTAGACAGCTCTTGCTGTTGACTTTGACTTACAATTACACTGGCCTCAGCATCCTGCTCTGGGTATTCCTTCAGGACAGCTGTGCATATAGAATCAAAATTCTAAAAGGGTTTGGCTTATTTAGCTATGATATAGTTAAAGAGATGAGATATATGTTTGAAAGTACATATATCCAGGAGTATATGCTCTTGTGCATTCCTCTTCATCAGTGTTTGTGCAGGTGCATGTAGTTAAGCATGTCATTGAAGATTTTGAAAAGGGCTAACTTTTTCAAAAGCACCTGAGTATCACCTAAACCAAAAGGAGCTAAATTCAAAGTCCAAAGAACCCAGGACAGTGCCATTTTCAGAATCAATTTAGAAATTTCATTCAAACATTTTAACAGCATACCAACTGTAGGTGGTCAGAGCAAGCATCTTTAAATGTTCATAGTGTGCCTCTAGGCTGGTTTAAAGTGGAAGCCTAAGGAAAGTACCGGTTAGTGTTTGGCTCCTGGACTCCTGAAATATTTTCTTCAATGTGAGTTAATCTTTGAAGTCATTCATTAACCACAGTGCTGTGACTTAACAAGTTCCCTTATGACGGTTGAGACTTGGCAACTGATCTCAGCCTTGATCTTGTCTCAGTGCAGGTGGCGGAGAGAACTTCTCAGTTTAAACCTCAGTGGGACCATATGAGGCTGAGGATTCTCCTCCAACAGAATTCTGTAACTAGGTGAGTTATGTGAATGCAGTTAAGTGTCTGAGCATGATAGTGATCTTTTCTTAAGCATATTTGTAGAAAATGTCAGGATGCTTGACCTAGAAAGTCTCATTATATCTGAAACAAGGGTGCTTCTAGAACTGAGCTCTGTTGGAAATCTGTCAGCAACTTGATATGCTGACCAGCTGAAAAATCAGCTTCTGAAAGCAAACTAGACATCTGTCTTTTATTCATCATCAAAGTTCTCTAACAACATAAGGAAAAATGGCCTTACAGTAGGCAAGGGATAGCACCAGACCCTAATCAGAGAAATATTTCAGCATGACAAGCTGACTCACAGAATCATAAAAAATAAAATTGGAAAGGATTTTAAGAGATTGCCTAGTTTATTTATTCCCCATCCTAATGGATGCTTGTCTGAGTGGTGGTTAAAAACCTCCAGCAGCAGGCACTCCACAGCTTCTCTAGACAGTATGTCCCAGGGCTTCAGTGTCCACACAGTACGTTATTCCCAATGTTTGCCCCATCTATCACTTGCTGCAATTTAGCCCATTGTTTGTTATCTTATCTGCTGTAGACTGACAGAATAATTTATTTCTTCATTTGAAATCTCTCTTCTCTCTTTGGCTGCACATCCTCTTTTCTTTCAATCTCTGGCATTTAAAAAGCTTCAGATGTACAGTATGAAAGGATGGGTGTGAACAGGACATAAGTGTCATGAGGACAG